AAAAAAAAAACAAAAACAAAAACAAAAAAAATGTAGGAAAAAATTTACCTGGATATTGGGCTCGAACCCTAGATAATCGATACATCTTCTTGCCATTCTTGGGGTGTGTGATCATATGTCTCTCCCCAACAAGGCGTTCCATCGATCGGGAGACCAAATAGGACTTGTACGTCCTGCAGCGTGATCGTGGCCTCCCCGAAGTCAAAGTGGAAGGTGTGCGTCTCCGGTCACCACCTTTCCACCAGACATGTAATCACGCTGTTATCCGTCGGTACTCTGCCCATTCTAAATAGCGGGCCGAAACCTATCCGATCGATCACCTCCCAGACTTTGGGATGTTGTATGTCCAACGCCTTCCAAAACTCAGCGTCGAAACGGCGGGTTTTAACGACGCTGTCACGACATCCCGGTACACCTTCGAATACTGCTCTCGACCGATGGCTACTCGGAAGATATAGAAAGGACCCATCCATCGGACCGAGATGCACACTGTAGCACTGCGGTTGTGAGGACGACGATGATGCCATTTTCTACCAAAAAAAAAATCATTAGATATTAAAAAGCATAATTTCCAACAATATAAAATAAATAGACGGAACATCAAAAAATAAATAAACCACATAAAACGGGATAAAAAATCGCAACATATCATGCACTTTTTATTTCTTATATTTTTCTCAACAAAAACTTCATATCCAATAACAACATCCACACACAATCGGGATCAATATGAAAATCTCTAATTCAAATCATTATTCTTATATTTTTTTCAACAGAAAGTTCATATTCAATAACTACATCCACACACGGCTCCAAACATCTCAAATTCAAATCATAATTCAAAAAACTTCAATTCATTTATCGAACACCTTCAACAACAATCAGGAACAATAAAGAACATAAGAAATTAAGCTAAAAAACGAAGCCACCTCATGCCAAACATCACTTTCTTCTCCATACCAATCAATTTTAATAGCAAAACAAATGAAAAAGAGAGCAAATTCGTCAAAAAAAATCTGCACACAAGGTGTTCGATAAAATATCACATAATGTTTCAGCAACACAACAACAAACAGAGCCTAAACATACTTCAAACAACTTCAATTCATTTATCAAACAACATCAACAATAAATTCAAACATGTACTTTTTTCATCTTATTTTGTGGTTGGGATCTCATCGTGGTGTTCGATAAAATTCAAACAAGAACATAACCAATGAAGCTCAAACGAAATCCGCACATTAGGTGTTCGATAAAATTCCACAATTATTAACACCTCAAATTCCACAAAACTTTCAACCGAACAAAGCTCACAACAATACAATGGAGGCAATTTAGACGTGTAAAACGAGCATGCTCTAAACCTAAACCTAATTTATCAAATCTTCTTATCAAAACCCTAAGCCCTAATTCAAAATTATTGAAAATTTGAGAAAATCGAAGCCCTAATAGAAGAAATGTTCCTAATAGTCGGAAAGGAGGTCCGGCGGTGAAATTTTCTGGTCGAAAATTTTCGGCGAAATTGCTCTCTCGCTCGCGCTCTCCGTTCTCTCTCGCTCTCTGTTTTCTTTTTCTTGCTTCTGCTCTTTCGTTTCTGTTCGCGTAAAGGGGAAGAAGAGAAATTTTTTGGATTTATATTTACATGTAAAACATATTCTGAGAAGTAAAACGTATTCTGAGAATACGTTTTACAAATACGTTTTACTTTTAATTATTTGTAAAACGTATTCTGGGAATACGTTTTACAAAAAAAAAAAA